ATATATATATATATGATTTCTACAACCAAACTTCTTGCCCTGTAATCAAAATCAATTGAGTCCATGTCATGTCTCAAAAACATCAAATGTGTAAAAGCAAGGCAGAATAGATTTATTTCTTTAGATAGATTAAACCATTTTAGATGATAACAAACAAAACCCTTAAAAGATGTTAGGTTTTAAAACAATTGTTTGCAATAAATGTAAATCAACATGGGCCCTACCTTAGTGATGTAATACTGTGATAGTGTAGCAGCATTCAGAGCCCACTCCATTGGACTGAACTGATTTAACTGTAACTGTCTCTGCAGGGTGCTGTGACAGTAGATGGCAGCACGCTCAGTTTCACCTGGAAGAAGAAACACCATCACAGTTATTGTTACCATCAAGTAAAGCAAAACACTTATACAACAAGAGTCAGCTTCCTTATATTCACAAACATGAATCAAGTTCAGAGGCGCACTTCAGAAATCAAATGGATGTCAATGGATTATAAATATAGTTGAAGTTCTTTATATTTAAATATTATTGAATACATTTTACATTTGATTTAAAGTATTTATTTTACACAAGCAAATAAACATGTACTGTTGTGCTGATTTGATTGAAACCAGGTTAGACTCACCAAGGTTTTTATAGACTTGAGCAAGGTAGTACATGCTGTGAGTGTAGGCCAACTCAAACCTGAGCAAGGAAAGTTTGAAAGAAAGCGTGAAAGAGAGAAATGATATATGGGACAAGGCAGAGCATAATTGACACAAGTTAAAAATCTAACCCGGGGTTTGCTGAATGAACGACCACGATCATGCAAACTTTGGGACAATAGTATTAATATAAACAGGTGGGAAGTCTGTACATTTGAATGTGTTATGTGGGCTGTTGGAGTTCACAAGTTACCTCTTGGTCCTTTCCTGATGTGTCAGCAGGTTCTCCTCAGTAGTGAAGTACTCTGTCATGTCGGTAGGTGGAGTCCCGTCCTGGAAAAACACAACAACTCCATAATATTGTCCTTCTAGCTGTAGCAGGAAACTAAAACTCGTCAGTCAGTTTGCCTTTTGAATGCTGGTGTCAACAGTTAATTAATTTCTCCCTTTTTTGCTACCTAGTGCTCTGTATTCACAATCCATCTTATTTTGAGGGAAGAAAATATTTTCAAGCATATTGTAGCACCTGCAAAAAAATCACCCTGTCTTGTCAACATGTGACACTCCACTTGTTGATGGTGAGGCAAATTGACGATGAAGTGTGCAAAAATGTCAATTTATTACTCAATACAGTGTATTGGGTTTGTATGTATGCTCTCAAGTGTTCGTCATGACAGTCAGATGATAGACGAGTTGTGAGACTGTGAAGAAGCAGGATAATCGCGATAAGAGGCAAACAGTGCATGGCAGTGATGTTTTCTTCCTCTATAGTCTCTCCTGTCATCCATCAGTCATTGTAACAGCAGCTTCAAGTAAACAGTCACACAGGACACCAACTTTACCTCCTTCATGTACCGTTGGTAGATGGATTCTGCTGTTTCAAGGAATCCCTGAGCCGTCTCAGTCTCATCCCGGCCCGCCCACAGGATACCCAACTGGTTCTGATAACACAAGCATCATGTGATCATGTACTACAGTAGATTGATTATTTCATCATAAGTGTATGGGATGTGGTTCTTATTAGTAATTATGGCACAAATATATCAATATACAAATATATATATATTAAAACTGTAATGCATGTAAAAGGGGAAAGGATGTAAACAGGCCTACAACGCTCCTTAAATGGAGTTATTGATCATGACGGTGCTGATTTGACTGTAGTTTATTATTTGTTCTGGTTCATCTCTATCAAGTCGTTCACAACCCCTCATAACTTAACGTTACATTTCTCTGTATAGCATGACTGCGGATAAGTTAACGTGAACGTTACCCTGGCATGGATAAACAGCGACACGTTCTCCGACGACACACTGCATCTCTCGAGCAGTTTCATGCAGTTCATCAGATGCTCCTGCCCGGCTGACAGCTCCTCTGTGTCCACATGGTTGACGCCCAGATAGTACTCGACAGCCCCGAGTTTAGCGGCCCGCAGCCCAGCCGGCGAGTCGCCGCTGAAGCCCCGAGCGAGCCCGTCCTCCCTCTGCCCGTCCACCGGCGGCTCTGTCGGCCGCTGTTCGCCGCTCTCTGCGCCGCTTTCCTCTTCACCGTCGCCGGCCTCGAAGCTCTTGAGCGAGCAGTATATCTCTCTGAGGAGCTCCCTGGCCTTGTATTTGGAGCGGAACGGGTCGTTTTCGGGGTCATTTCGTGATTCTACAACAGTGAGATTCTGGGCGTTGGTGAATTTGTCGCAAACTGCTTTCCACTCATCGCTGCTCACAGACGCCATGTTGGTCTTCTTCTTTGTCGTTTACCTCTCACAACATCAGGGTTCTTGATGTCGCAGTGCTGCCATCTACTGGAAGTACTTAGGTTATCTCTTTCTATGTCAATTTATCTCAAAAATGTATTTGAGCTTAATTTACTTGAATATTTGTCTCCATGGCATCTGTTTTGACCAGTGGTAGACTGCAATAGAGCAAGTTAATACTAATATTATATATAGTTAAGTACAATTGTGGGGTACTTGCACTTTACCTGACAATTTCCATTTTTATACCTCTGCTCCACTACATTTCGGAAGAAAATGCATACATTTTCTGTTAGCTACAGTATAGTCCACTTATACTTTATAAAGTATACTTAACTACTACATATATACACCTTAACTTTAATTACACATTTTAAATGCTGCTTATCCAAGATAATGCATCAGTAATACAGCATTTTATAATGAGCATTTTGATTGCATTTGCTGATAATACCTCTGTACTTTTAATGAAGTAAAAATGCAGGATTTTTTTTTACCTTTCTTAAACAATCTACTACTTCCAAAACTGGTTTTGACAGTCTTGATTGGAAAATTGTTTAATATATTCATCCAGCTCGAAGCCACCTGTTCATTTGATATGTACTTTCTAACTTTGTTGATAAGATGTGTTTAGTGTTAATTTAACGAGGGCATTACGTTGCAGAGCAAAGTGTTGAGTGTAAACACGGAGCAGTGGCGTCCTTGACCTAAATCACTCGCTGAATTATGTTCAAGTTGCTCATAGCCAGTTTATTTGAACAAACCCAGAGAATCAAATCATTAATCAGGGAAAAATTATATTAATTATACAATGGCAATAAATTAATGTGAACTACATATGATAACAACACACACTACATGTTTGGTCAGCACTGACAGAAGCAGCTTGTCTTATTTATTATACTTTCATAAAACTATGCCAAATCGGGTCCTCTAGTCACACCGTTTTCATTGTACAGTATACCATTTTGCACTACAAACAAAAAGCGTAGCTCTGTGTGTACTCCCTGCTTAAGTGAAGGTCAAAGGATCAAAGTCCAAATGTTTAGCAAGTGATAATCTGCCATCCTGTGGATATCGCAAGATGAATTCAGGCTAAGTTCTCTTTGAAACAACATTCATATTTCAATTACTAAGCAGGTAAGAAAGTAATACAAATAATAATGCTGATGACCTAAAATGAGATGATTGATGACTAAAGATTGTTTTGCTGAAAATGTGCAACAGGCAGTGTGCAAGGCAGCAAACAGTCAGGCTATTCAGCAAAGTGTACATTCACCCACATCAGATTTTTGTGTGTCAATGTGTGTTGAAATTGAATGTTGCAAAAACACAGCAGTTGACCTAAATTCTTGGAGGAAAAGCGTCTGCTTTTTTCTGTCTGTGCAGTAAAAGTGAAAATGCACGAGGATGATCAATCACAGTAACAATAGGTTAAAATAAATGGTGCAAGTGCCACAGTTAAGATGATTAGATAAGATGGTTGGATGCATTCGTTTTGATGTCCAGGTTTACATGGTGGTTAAAACAGCATGGTGCCACTCTGCAGTGATCGTTCTGCATCTGCTTTACTCTGCCACTAAGATTGCATCTTCTTCTTCTCCATTCTGTAGAAATATAGAAACAGCTGTTTACAAACCTACGTCGTCGTCGTCATACCAAGTGCTGGCAGCATGTCACTCTGAGTTTCACTTTGATAACATTGCTCTTTAACCTAACTCTTTCATTAAGTCATTGGTGAAATAGTGATCTAGGTCAAAAGCCATGGTGGCAAAATGAAGATCAGGTTCAAAAAATAACTGGAAAGACACTACTATTTTTGGTCATTATCATTTCAAACAAAAAAAAAGGACATCACGATCCAAACCTGAACACACAAGCTTGAAGCTATATGACAAAGCAAATGCTATAATAGTAGCCTGCTAATCTACCTAACATCACTTATATTTCTTAAACTCTTCATAGAAGCTCAAATGGAATTATGACCAACAGAGTGGAGTTTCTCTATGAACAGGTTATTGTGGACCGTGACATAAAGCCACCACTTTGAGGAGATTACGGCTGAAAGGTTGTGAAAAGTTTGTCTAACAGTGTTTCATGACACCTGATCTGTTTACAATGACAACAAAAATAAAATAAAAAAATCACATCATAGAATGTTGCTTACTTGTATTTGATGAGACGACTTCCCTGCACTAGCTGTGCTGCCTCATTGGTGAAATGGCAAGCAAACAGTAGCCAGTTGCGTGGCTGTACCTTGTAGGCGAACCTCATGAAGAGCAGTGAATAGCAGGTCAGAGCTGAGAGGAAGGATAAAACACACAGGCAATCGCTTATTTCAGCACTGTCTTCTTATAAAACTCTTACTTCTATCATATTAAGCATCTCAATGGGGGGGGGTAAATAGATGAAACCTAATAATATCAATCGATAAATATAAAGTGACTAACAAGAATTGACGCAGTAGTTTACTTTACAGAAAAGTACAAATGACAAACCTAACTCTAGCAAAAGTTAACCAGAAATGAATGGGGGTGTTGTGTGAACCCTTCATGTGTACATCTGGGTTTATCAGCACATGTGTCCGTGTCTTACCAAAGGTCATCCTGCCACTGATAATCTCAGGGCTCTTCTTCATATCTGTGATGGCGGCTATGGGAAGACCCCAGTTTGCGATAGGACCCCAGAAATGCTGTGAAGGTACACACAAAACACCGAAATACAGTTTGAACCACAGACAATTTATGGTTTGGGCAGTATCTTAAGATGGTTGAACAGTAAAACAGAACTATACAATTACAATCACATTGCTTAATGGTAAAATCTGTGTTGTGAATCCCAAAACAATATCAATTCTAAAAAGTACTGATGTCGAAAAAAACATGTCAGTAAAAATGTAAAAATGATACACGCATATTGGGTATGAGACAAACAGAAAGATAGACATAAACCAACAGGCAGTCTTGGATGAGAAGAGACAGATAGAAACAAATATGACAAACAGAAAGTTTGAGTACTTACCGTGCTGTTGAACAGGATTATTTTTTTCAGGGCCACATAGAAGAGAAAAGAAGAGAAATACAGAAAAGTCAAACTGATGTGACCGAGAGCTGCTGCCACCTAAAATAGGTCACGGGTTTGTTTCAGACAATTCACGAATGACAAGAGAATTAGTACAATTTAAAGAGTTCAGGTCCTGCAGGGAGGAACATCACCTGCTTCGATTCCTCATTACTAAATTAGATCATAATGAAATAGGAAACATTTCAGTACCTAGATGAACATATTTAACTACAGTTACAGTGAACTGTTTACCACAGTGTTGACACAAGTTAAAGGTAAGGTCATTGATTATTGTATTCTCTACACGATGACAAAAAAGACCACAAAAAAAGTCAAAGAAACCCCAGAGCTGGTGCTAAAGGCCACATATAATTCCTCACCATATCTACAGTGCATTTGTTTGATTTTCTACTTGATTTTCAGTATGTTGCAAATGTAAACAAAGATGGCCCCTTGCATCACTGTGTCATAAATCCATGTGTGGATTGCTGCTAATCTGTGGAAAGTACACACACCACCCGGGTGTGTGTATCATGTACACATTAACCAACGTCTGACAACATGTTAAGAAGTAATAAAGCAGTTATCTCTGCTGGCCTTTGTCTCCATTAACAGCCAACCTCATAAACTGGAGAAACAAGCTAACTGAGGGTTACTTTCTAACGTTATGTTACAGAAACGTCCTTGAAAAACTAGCAGAGAATCGAGAGAAACGACGCCAATTTAACAAAAAGTAACACACAAATTGCTTAAAATACTCATTGGATTTTATTAAAACGTTGTCTGAACAAATCGGGACAGTAACCGTAGCTAACGTTATCGAGTTGACACTCGACAACCAACTAGCACACGTCACTTTAGCATGAGTGCTAATAGAAAATCTAACAATTTTCATTTTTACATACCTTGTCAAATAATCCCTGAAATCTTTGCTCTTCAAATGGTCAACAGCTTTCCGTGCAATTGTCGCTGCCATGGTTTAACGTTGGGCTGGTGTCTGTTATGGCAAAGAAACGCACTCTTTCTCTGTTGAAGGGCGACTGAAAACTCAGCTCAGAGGACGACTGGTCTGATTTCCGACCATAACATTGGCATTTTACGACACTGTCGCAATTACGCAGCGCAACCTCAGGCGGGCCAGGGTACTTCTCAAGTCTCTTAATTGTCGTTTCCTCGGTCCTCGATCCTCGGTTGAACCGGAAGTTGTTTCTGCACCGCCATATTGACGGCCGTCCCAAAGCTCTACTGTAGCTCGGAGGAGCGAGGATGGAGGAGGGACCTCTGAGGAGTCATGAGCGAGGAACCACGAGAACAGACTTCCAGGAAGTCTTTTAACGGCCGACACGCCCCCTCATTGTTCATCAGTTATGTGATTGGAAGCTGCAGCCGATCGGACTGACTGACTGGAGTTTAACGCCAGAGTGAAGACGGATCACAGAATAAACTCAAGCTTTATATTTGATTAGGTTTCTGATTCACCGTCTGGTTTAAATAAATGTTCATTGTAGTCTGAACAACAAAACGACCACAAACAACTTTCTTCATTTATTAGAAAGATTTATGTTTTCATGATCTGATATTTCCCTCAATAACATATATTATGAATACAATTACAGTCAGAGGGAGCTGGAGAGATGAAACACTTTTTACATAATTCCTGAGTGTTTGATGAGTTTTATCATTTAAGAGAAACAATAATCATATTCTGGGTTATTTAATAATGACCCCACAGTCACAATTTCAAAACATACAGACGCAAATAATTCATAAATAAGACGATCGCATTCCGCCGATAGAAATGGATCCTGCGCTTATAAACAGAACACAGGACACAGTTTGTTAACAGGCTACAGAGAGAAACACCTCTACAGTGATGATTACTGTGTGTCTTTATTAGTTATTAGTATTATTAGTTACTATTATTAAGTACAGTGATCATGTGAACAGATGCAAACTTATCAAAACTCTCTCCAGCTGTTAAAGCCGACTGACAGCTGATCCAGCTGTGATCATCAGCACCGTCATCAGAAACAGACGTCGCTTCACGTGAAGCAACTGAGGAAAGGACGTCTCATGTCTCTTAAAACATATTTCCTCGTTCCTCTCTCCTTGCATGGTTTCCTCCATGCATCCCTGGTGGGAGGGACTAAGACGCAAGGAAAGGACGCAAGTGAGGGAAACGGGGATGCAATTAAGAGACTTGAGATGTACCCCAGTCTGCTGCCTGCAACTGATTTATTGGCCCAATCCCAATGTCCCCCCTAAAACTTCAAACCCTAAACCAAAGGTATTCAATAACAATTCCAAAAGGTCCAGATTGAGAAAATCTCCTCGGGCAAAGGTCCGGAACATTACAATAATATCTAACTTGTGCTATTTAGTGCCATATACAGTATATATATCAAGACGCCTAGTAGTAGTAACAGCGTCTCTGTGTAGTCAACAACTGTCAAATCAAATAAAGAAAGTACACATCAATTATATTTTAACAATTATTATTCTCAGTTTTCAAATCTAACTGGAAGGATTATAAATAATACATAGAAATACATAAATATATGTTCTTCTCAGTTCAAGTAAAATAAGGGCTGCATTAAAGAATGAATTACATAACAGAAAGCTTTTGAAAAATGTGCATCTTAAAATAAAGTATTATAAAAGAAATGTATTTCACTGAATTGCCCTGTAGCTTTAAATTCAGTTCATTCAGGGTGAAGTGATGTCAATCAAAAAAGCCACAATATCATATTTTTCTCACCTTCTAATAAGAGAAATCAGTGAGCATGGACTTTATCTGTGGTTATTAAACCACTTGTTTCAGCTCTATTCTCTCTGTTAACATCATTGTTGTGAAGTGAATTAATGTGTAGGATTCTGATCATATTCGACTCTTAGGTTTATTTTTTGTCTTCATTTCAGATGTGAGTGGATACGTTTGCTCAAAAGAGTTATGCTTTGTCTCGTATTGACGCTTCACATTACCGTTTTATCAACCGTTACGGTCTCTGAACATATGACATACTGGTTTTAAACTGTCCGTGGGAAGAATTAACATATTAGAGTCTGTTCATTAATGACTCTGGTCTCTCTGGTCTCTCTGACCACTTTTCTCTTTTTGGAGAATGTCATGTGAAATAACTTCTCTGACTCACGTAATTATTCTCCTAGGCCCAATCCCAATGTCCCCCCTAAAGCCTCAAACCCTGAACCCTCAAGGACTTACTGACGTCACCTAAGTGGTCGAGTGTGAGAGACTGTGAGGGCTTGAAATGGTGTAATGGGACAGCACTTTGCTGCAACAAATCACCTTACCATGAAAACAACAAAAAATATGATGTATAATTGTGGGGTTTTATTTTATTCCCATGAGTGGGTTTTAGGTGATGCTCGGTGCTTTCTCTGAGGAGTGTGTCCAGTTCTCTGGATCCTTTCTTTTTTCGCTCGCTTTTTGTTCTTTCTTCTGGAAGATTGGGGGTTGCTATGTCCGTAGTCCCTTTTCGGTTCGGTTTCTTCAAACTGACCTAGGATCAGTCTGGAGATATCTCCTGGGGTCAGGGTTACCATGGTCCTGGTAAAGGAGGCACCTACAGTAGTAACCATCGCCGTGCCTGTGCTGCAGGTAAATACGCCCCTTTGGGTGTCTTTACAGCAGCATCCAGGCATACCTGAGTGGTCATATCTGACTATGTTCCACCTTAATCCTTCTCTAGTCCAGCATGTGTTGCACATGGCTACCTTGCGGTCCCCACTCCCTTCTCTGGCTGTCCTATTGATCTCCCTCCAAGGGGTTTTCTGTAGCTTGGGTCTTGTGGACCTGGTTCCCTGCCATAGGGTATCTGCTACCTTATTTTGGCATAGGTAACATGTGCCGGGTTCATATGTTTTCCACTCTAGTGGCCCATAGAGGACAGGCCTACTTGGGTCTTTCCCCCCTCATCGCAGGAGAGAATACATGTGAATCTTCTCATGATTTGGAGGAGTTTTGGTTTTTCCTCAACCATGGTGTCTTAGGCTTTCGCCTAACTTCCGGATTCGGGTCACTTTGTGCTTACTAGCGTATTTAGTCAACTGAGGTTAATCGGAATGATTTGTGAGATATGCACGTTTCCTTTGTTTTTAAGTTTCACCACGTTACCTGTCACCTGTTCTATTTGGTATTGACCTTCGTTGTTAGTTTGCACGGGTTGGTCGCCTTGTTTTTGTCCCCTGTTCAACCACGCCCAGTCTCATGCCTGTAGACAAGATGGAGAGGGATGGTTAGGTTGGGAGTTCGTTCGCGGAAGTTTAGGCAACGATAGGTGTTCATTTAGGCACATTAGATACCTGGGGTCGTCCCAGTCATTTGGACAGTTTGCGCATATAAAATCTTTAGCTGATCTAACCGCTCGTTCTGCTATTCCATTCGTTTTGGGTTTATAGGCGCTGGCCCATATCATCTCTATGTCTAGTTGCAACATAAGTGACTTCACCAGTTTATTTTTGAAATGTGTACCATTATCCATTCTAAGTGGTTTTGGAGTCTTACCTGTAAAGACAACAACGTTGCGACCTGTGGCCGTTTTAAGTGGGTATGCTCGGGTATCGCCCCCTGCGTTATCCGTGACAACTAGGATGAAGCAATTTCCTCTTGACGAACGCTTATTTAATGGGCCTGCTATGTCAGCAGAATAATGCATTCCAGGATGTTCTGTTGTGATAGGGAGTGGGGACCCATGGGCCCTCGGCATTCCCCCTTTATCCGCGCATTTACCGCAATTGGTTTTAATGATTGGAAAAAGCTTGTTGAACTTCGGTACGTGTATCCGTTGTTCCTTCAACCAGATCTTAGTTCTTTGCATGCTACAGTGACCGAGACAGTCATGAATTTTTGTTAATATTGCTTTAGCTTTGTCTTCTGGGATTCGTACACCGTTTTCTGTGTCCCACTCCGGGGGGAAGATGCACGTTTTTCTGAAAAGGAGGCTTCCTAAGTGAATTTCCTCCTCTTGGTCCCTTCACTGTGCTAATTCATCCGCTTCGCTTCGCTTTGTGTTCTTTAGTGATACCTTGCATGTGGCTAGGTATATGTTCCACTCTCACCTTTTTTCCTTTCTTTAGTTCCGCTATTACAGACCAGCTCTGTTGGTGTTTCAGTTCTTTACCTTTATGGTTTTGAAAATCCCTTTGTTCCCAATATAAAAGTTCTTCATTAAACCCTTTACAACAGCAAACCCTGTCGGTGATTATTCTTATGAACTTCTTTTTACAGGTCTTCGTGGTCTATCCGATTCGTCCTCTGAATCAGGTTCAGTGACCCAGTCACTGGTCACGGCGGCTGCCATTGATTGGTTGTTTGGTACGGTTGTTTTTCGGTTTTGAGTTTGCCTCGAAAGAGGAGCGACCTACTTTCTTCCAACGGGTAACTGGATCTCTTTCGTTTCAGCAGTATTTTAACTTACTTTGCGTTTGACCAGTGGGTTATTTTTACAAGTGGGTTTCTTGGTAGTCTGTATGTTTAGGAGTTTCAGCTTCTCCCGTAAAAATGTATTTGAGTCGAATAACGTTTTTGGTGGTTCTCAGTTCGGGGTTCTTTATCATTGAACTCGATTTGTGGTCGATATCCCACGTTGTGCGCTATGTTGCGTTTTCTCTCTTCAACAATTGACTATTGGTTATTTTCCCTCAGTGTCTCAGGCTTCCGGGGAGGCTAGCCGGTTGTAGCAAACCCTTTGCCCCTATTTCGACACCAGAGGTACTCTCCCACAATAGCAACTATCGCCTCCCGCCTCCTAGATTCCTTACTTGTCCTTATCGGTTTATCAATGTTGGGCAATGATTTCAAGGAGGACTTTTAGGTTTTTCAGAACAGCTAAAGCTGAACTGCAGGGGTCCGGTTCACGTAGGTTCACTTTGTGGGATTTAGGCAGACGTCTGGAACTACCAGGACACTTAGGCAGAACCTGTGGGTGGATCTACCCCACTGTAAACAACCTTCTTTTTGATTTCTTTAACAACGTTTTGTAAGTTTGACCAATCACGAGTCTAGATTAGATTACACACTCACCTCGGACGACACAGCTCTGGTGCCCCTCCTGGATACGACGAAGGGGGAATAGGAAAGAAAGAGAGGAAAACTCTAATTCTAAGTTCCTTGCAATACTATGGTAAAGAAAGTGTCTTTATTTCCACAATCAATAGGTACAAGTTTATATGATGAAGCTTATCTGTTCCTTGGATAGGAGGGTTTTGGTTTAAGGGAATCTATAATGCTCTGTATAGTATAATGCTGTTTCCGATTAAGGATGTTTCCAACGCTTTACCGTCGGGGACTTGCTATGTGTTCTCCTGAGAGGAGGTTCTGATAGCGAGAAGAGTCTCTTAATCACTAGCCCTAATTTTAGGCTAAAGAGAGTGTAGTTCTCTAACTACAAGGTCTATTTTAATAATTTTGATGGTATAATACAGGTAAAACTTGTGAGACACTTGTTCAGATGTGTAAATATTGTGTATATGTTACTGGTTAATACTGAATGAAGATGGAACACAGCTCAAATTGAAAAGTTTCAGGTTCACATGAAAAAAAAGCACTTGTATTGAAAATATTTATTTGAAATAATGCAGATATAAGCCTAAAAATACACCACAGTCATAGCACAACATGTTTTACATGTCTCCACAAACAAATTTTACTTCGATTGAGTGAAGCAGGCCAGCATAAATGAGGTGTGGGTACAGACAGTCAAGCCAAATTCTCATTTTTAGAACCAGCTGTTGCGCTGGTTTTTATATATTTATATATATTTTATAGACTATTTAACTATATATTTCACTTGTTGTATCACTACTAGTGTTCAATACATCCTAATACAGCAGTTTGGCATCATTTTGAGCCATTTTGAGATCTCATATCTCTCCTCCATGGAATTTTCTCATCTCAGTCTGAGTCGATGGAGACCTTTTTAAGGCCTGTGATTGGCGGACTTCATCATGTGACACCTTGTTCAATGCGGAAGAGTTGTTCTTTGGCTTTATGTATGTAACTTTTGAATGGTTTCACGGAGAGGAATGAGGAAGATGTGATTCGACTCGCGGTCGAATCCTCGTGCTTTATCATGTGCTATCATCTGCCATGATAGCTGCCAGCCTTGTGATGGGAGATGCAAACGGAATGCATAGGTCGCCGATTTGTGGCGAAAAATAAGTGATATTGTGGTAAATCTTCTAGTCGCTTATATTAGTTAGTATAATTGTGTTTGGAGTGTGTAAAAAGTGACTTACATGATAGTGTTGCCCAGCTGTTGCTGTTTAATCTGGTATATAACATATGTATACATGCACAATATTCGCTATTGATATGTACATTTTTACGACAATTTTTACGACGCCACTTGAGCGCAAAGCCCCCAAATTCAGGGGCGTCGTGTATTGTTGTGGCAAAATGACGAGAAGAGACGGCGAACTGGAGTTGCAACCAGCGGGAAGTGTTTTTAATAAGATCAAGCCAACATCAACAAGTTCTGCATATCGAAACAAATCCAAATGTATTACTTTTCACAGATCACTTTTATAGTCAAGATTCACCCCCCTTAAGTTACTTTCCACCAATCAAACCAGTCCGTTGAACCAAAAACAAAGCACATCTGGTCTCTTCATTTGTCATGCTCTCATGTCCTCGTCTGGGTCAAGATAACCTTTTGGCAGATCACACTCACGATCCATGTACGGGAAATGTTTTGGTACGAATTGGAGAGATTTATTACAATTTGTGTGGCGCTCCCTAATCACTTCATAAGAATGTATCTATGAGCCAGAATGTGTTCACGTAACAGTTATGTAACGGAATCCAGATGTGTTCAGTTCAATCCTAAGTTATATGATGATTTTCTTCAACAGTATAAGAGGCTCTAAAAGTCAAGAACTGTCAAGCGATATGCGAGTGCAGTTTAAATGGCCCTTGCTACACGATGTGCATCCTGTCTGTGGCTGCTTACTAGTTTTGTTTGCGTATAGTTTCTCCCTTTACCGGATGCTAAGCCCATATATGGCCCTAGGATGTAAAGTGAGCGTGCAAGCATGATGCAGTAATTTTCCATATTTCAATTTTGACAGCTGTTACAATATCATTTGATATTTCACAACAATGTGCATACCTTTTTTAAAAAAAAACCCCAAAAAAAAACAAAACAGTTGACACAAAGTGAAAGCTGCAACAGATGCTGAGGTGGTCTGATGCCAATAAATAAATAACTGACAAGATGAGGTGGTCTGATGCCAATAAATAAATAACTGACAAGATGAGGTGGTCTGATGCCAATAAATAAATAACTGACAAGATGAGGTGAGGTGAAGAAGTCCACAAAACAAAGCACATTGTAATACCTGCAGTTCAATTTACCTTGGTTAAACTGTTCTTTGAGGGAGACATCTGACAACCAAAAATATTAAAAAAATGTGGTTTGGTTTAAGTTTATTGAAATCCACTTATTTTGATTTATACCTTTGAGTACAGAATAGACAAAGCAACCTCTTACAAATATCCCCAGCTATCATTTTTAAATGTAGTTTCATGGTCTTAATGTCATTGACTTGACATCAGTGTCCACCATTGGGCCGCACTTCTTTATAGTTCTTGATCAGCTGGGAGATCCTGACGACTTTAATTTCTGCCGGTATTGCATCATAGTCTGACCACAGGTACTCTGCAGACAGCACCTTGGTTGGCTTGTTGTACAGCAGGTACCTGCATGACAGAGAGACAGATAAGCAATGTATATTCCATATCCATGTGTCTAATACTCAAGATGAGATTCTTCAAGAAAATAAGAAACTTGATACAGTCTAATAAATAAAAGAAATATGATGAAGACTGGCAGATAAAAAAAACATTAGAAATGAGCATATGAGCAGGTTGGACTCTCTTGAAACTTGTTCCTTAAAAATAAGAACAGTAAAATCATTGAAAATGAGGGGATAAATTGGGACACATGTACCTGTTGAGGTGACTCTCTTCCTGCCAAACAGCTTCGATGTTATTCTTAGCATCTTCCTCCGACTGTGTGTAACAGTATCTGATGAAACAAAAGAAGTAGAAGAAGAGTCACTGCAGAGTTTTATTTTGTTTTTAAAATACATTTTAAACAAAACTTGGTAAATTAGTTGTGGCAATCATCTTAAATAATGGTCACATAGGTGGCGAAAGGTCAGAAAGACAGAGAAAATTATATATATATATATATATATATATATATATATATATAAAAAAAATTGTAATTGTGATTTATGTTTTTAACAATACACCAGATGTGAAGGGCAAAGGGTTTTACCCATCCAGTGTCTAAATGTATACCTTATTGTCGGCTCTGTCAAATCATTACTCTCTATCCACAGTACATTGTCCTTTTAATTTAAATAGCAAAATGAAAATAACTTTAAAAATAATTAGATTTTGGTTACTTGACTAGCTTATACATGTCCTCCAGGTATCCACACCAGATAGCAGCAGTGTAATAGTAGTCTCCTTCATCAGCAGGAATGAAGGCCTTGGATTCGGGCCGGCGCTCATAAGGAAACTTAGTCCTTTTGCTATTCTGAGAAAAAATAAAGATTTAGAAATATGGAATAGGAATGAGAGGCTATAGCCGATACCTGTTACGGCAGTTAATGCTGTGGCTGATCCTGCATAACACATGGTGTAATAGGTGAATCAATGAAAACATACAACAATTAGATCACATAACCTTATTATTATTATTATGATAAAAACTTCCATTAACTTGGCATGAATATACTGTAGGAAAGAGAGTAAAACCATGTAGCCACGGTGAAGCACAGCAGACAGCTGACTGAAAGACTCGGCTCCAACTCTGTTGTGAAAGACACTGTCGATGTCCATCATATAAAGATAGTCCGCTTCATTACGGATCTGAAAACATTACAGTTGAGATGTGAGATTGACTGCAACACGCAGAGACTGAACTGCATGACCAAAAAATAATATATATTGAAGAGAACCATATTATCTTTTGTGCCACTCAGTGAATCCATGAATCCATTTGTTGTTGTTTTTCTTTTGTAAGAACTAGTATGATCATTAAACAACTAAGCTATGACAATTTGAAAGCAATAGCTACTGAATGCGTCCATTTTGTGCATTTCACTTCTTACCTGTTTGTCGATGGTGATGGTGGCCCATTTCATCCTACCAAGCACTACTTCCTGCCAGCGCTTGGCACTAGGGACGGTGATAACTGAGATATTCCGGCCCTTAGCCAGTTCAATCTGACAAACACAGACAAACACACAATACTTACATGTGTATATGTGTACATTTATTTTTGGTTTGAGTCTCATAAATATGAATAGTTAATAAATATGAAAACACCAGTCTTAAAGTGGCTTATTTGTCCAAGGGTTTCTGGATCACAACAAAGTAACAGTGAACTAAAAACGTTATTTTGCCGCACAGAATTTATTGTTAAATGGCTATCAGTTGAGCTGTGTAGCAGCCATGCACAACACTACTTTAAACATAGTAAGAAACAAAAACTCACTTGGGGGACATCTCCTTTGTTGTCTGTGAAGATGTAGTAAGTGACCCTGAAGTCAACAAGAAAGTGCTTTTCAGCTGACTCCAGGAAGCCCTTTAGGAAACGTGTGTATCTGTTTGGAAGGAAAGAAGCGAGCCATAAAGATGAACAATTAGAAAAGGCAACACAAGAGAAATAACACCATGCAAAAGATAAGTAGTATTTACAGTATGTGAAGTAGCTTTACCTTTTCAGATTTAGATGTTATATTTCAGCCTGAAGCAATGGGTCATGTCAAACCTCACTCCTATAATATCCTGTGAGAATATCCTGTGTACCTACTTGCCAACAGCGAATAACACCACAGCAACTCTTGGGTCCATTCTCTTATAGATTACATCGATAACCACTGGATCAAAGGTTCCCTCCCAAACCAGAGGAGCATTCCAGTTTGTCACTGAGTTCACATCAGTACGTCTTGGGAGAACAAATACATTGTGGATTCAGACTTTATTAAGCATTCCCAGGTCTTAGTCCAGCAATGATCAGTAGTTTGTCTCTGTATGTTCAATATTCAATAAGTTGTGGCAGAAGATGATTCCAAATTAAATTATCACTTTACATCTCACCATATACACAATTCATTAAAACATGCAAAATGTTGTGTTTCACCAGTTACAATTACATAAAATGTGTGACGACCCTCTCTGCCTGTTCGTTTGGCTGCCTTCCTTGCAGGTGTGGAGGTGGGTCGTCAGGCAAAGTGGAAGCACCTGAGGCCATTTGCAACACTGGCCCTGTGTGCCAGAGCACTCAGTATAAAAACCCTCTGGATTCTTAGTTGGACTCTCTCTCCTTCCTGAGACACCCATTTTGGATTTGGTTATGGTTTGTTTCTACACTAGACAACCCTGCATATACACTTTACACGCACCCACTCACTTACACTGCTGAAATGACTGACTTCACATGTCTGTTAGTCTATGTTTGTCTTTTATATTACTTTAAACTTAATAAATAATTAATCAACTGTTTCATTGAATGCATCTCCCTTTTTTGTCATGGCCGTTCGGCCCGGTTTGTGACAAATGCAAGAACATTTTAATAAAGTGAAGTCTGATCTTTGACTTTGTGAAGGAGATATGTTCATCATTGATTATTCTATAAAATGTTATGTATACATTTTACACAGGAGAATAATGTGATATCTGTTTTTATTAGCTTACCTGATCGTTGTGCTTGGCTGAGCATATTTAACTCTGGAAAAATGGAGCAAAGATTAATTTAAATGTATCTTTACTATTCCAAAGACAAATGCAGGGGTAAATGCAGTACACAGGATATTTGCATTGCAAACCAGCAGCAGAGGCGCAAAATAATGTTTCTCTTTCATGTTCTTTGTCATCTATTTAGAGTTACAATCTTGAAGATCTCTGTTTTGTTCACTTTGGCAGCACCAATGTAAATAAGCTGTTTTTGCATTTCACTCCCCAGAAAGAACGTTTTTTTCAGGGCCAGGAGGTGAACCAGAGTCTTATCAAGTGTAAATGGAAAGCTGTCAGTTTTCTCTCTGTTGGTGAAAAGAAAAGTTCATCCTCACCCAGTTTGCATTTTGAGTTCGCTGATCTTCCAGTTGCCATTGTCCTGGCAAAGACTTAAAAAAGAAACACAATATTTATTCGTCATAATATGAGAAATTCATACAGTATGAAACTTCCTGGAACTGTTGGGCAGAGATGGGATTAATGAGGACTTACAAAGTGTGTAATTTAATTTGGAAGGTGATGTGGTGCAAGCAGGATATTTGTATTGCATACCAGCAGCAGAGGCGCAATAAGTTTAACATTGTTACGGCAAAGGCTGGAAAGCATGTTTCTCTTTCATATTCTTTGTCATCTATTTCGAGTTACAATATAGAAAATTTCTGTTTTGTTCACTTTGGCAGCGCCTACGTAAATAAGCTGCTGTTTTTGTTGGTGAAAAGAAAAGTTCATCCTCACTCAGTGTTCATTTTGTTCTGTACGATCCTCCTGTGGCCATTGTCCGGGCAAAAACTTAAAAAAGAAATACAATATGTACTCATATGACAAATTCATACAGTATGAAACTCCCTGGAACTGTTGGGCAGTTCCAGGCATCAGACTCTATGGTTAGTGTCTGATGCATGTATTTGAAATGACACATGCCGTCTTCAGCGACATTACCAGAAGGATGAGATGCTTGGCCCATGACGGATATACAGGATCCTGTGAAGACACACAGATACAAAAAATGAATACATCGGTAGTTACAAGTTTTACACTTAAACTTCTTTGCGGGTTTTTTTTAAGAAACACTGATGTTTTAGTAATATTTTTTATTTTTTACTCGTCTGATCATCTTTTACTGCCTTTTGTTGGTTTTAGGGCTTTTTACAAACTGGCATCATTACGTAGTTATTTCGGCATCCCTTTTATCTGTTTATTGCAATAAAATCCCAGCAAAATCAGTTTGTTTAGTGTTCATACAGCTGTAGTAAACCAGCCGACGTGAGGCTTGCTAGACAGTGAATACACCTCGATACAATTCACAGAGCTCCTCCGGACTATGTTACGAACCGGACAAGACGGCGTTTAGTTTCCCGGGACATCTGGGACTTCCACAACAAGTACTAAGCAGAAATACAGGTTATTTTTTCCATGGTTGATGGCGGACAGTTGAACGGCTTTCAGGGCGATAAGCCACGACCACTCTCCGGCGCGTCCGACGCGATTCACGCGAATGACCACAAATGGTCCCCCACGAGACGCAAGGAAAGGACGCAAGTGAGGGAAACGGGGATGCAATTGAGAGACTTGGGATGTAGCCAGTGTAGTATCATGGCGAGTTTAGCTACACTTCCGCTTGCCAGTGGCCATGAGGTCATGTTTTCCTGTTTTCAGCATCCTTTAGAGCAGGGGTCTTCAACGTTTTTCAGGCCAAGGACCACCAAACTGATAGAGAGATGGAGCAGGGCCCCCCGACTCTATATATTGTATACAATTGTGTTTTATATTAAACTGGGCCGAGTGCCATGTATAAACATACCTCTTTATTGTGCATTCAATACTAAGCTATTCAAATAATACACAGGTTCATATATTCATGTTTTTATTTTAAACATGTGCAAGGTACAGTGAGTAGGGTGGCCATGCCACTGCCATTTAGAAACATGTCTTTAAATCCACATATTTACGTGTTGTGCTTTCTCCCCTCCTTCCCTTCCTCCTTTCTCTCTCCCTCAGTCTGCTTTCATGTCAATCAGTTGACTGGGTTCCACCTGTAAGGGCCGGCCGTGCTGCTCGGTGGGTTGCACCAACTGCAGGCTGGCCAATCGGCAGTGGGGGAGCCAAGAATAAAAGCAGGACGTCTGGGTACATCCCAAGTCTCTTAATTGCATCCCTGTTTCCCTCACTTGGGTCCTTTCCTTGCGTCTTAGTCCCTCCCACCAGGGATGCATGGAGGAAACCATGCAAGGAGAGAGGAACGAGGAATTATGTTTCCTCAGTTGCTTCACGTGAAGCGACGTCTGTTTCTGATGACGGTGCTGATGATCACAGCTGGATCAGCTGTCAGTCGGCTTTAACAGCTGGAGAGAGTTTTGATAAGTTTGCATCTGTTCACATGATCACTGTACTTAATAATAGTAACTAATAATACTAATAACTAATAAAGACACACAGTAATCATCACTGTAGAGGTATTTCTCTCTGTAGTCTGTTAACAAACTGTGTCCTGTGTTCTATTTATAAGCGCAGGATCCATTTCTACCGGCGGAATGCGATCGTCTTATTTATGAATTATTTGCGTCTGTACGTTTTGAAATTCAGATTGTGACATCGATATCAAATAACCCAGAATATGATTATTGTTTCTCTTAAATGATAAAACTCATCAAACCCGACAATCAGGACAACCAGCTCTCTCAAGCTGGGCCCCGGTTCACTCACAGCGCGAGACTCGTCTGGACCTGTCTGTCAAGCCTCCTACACACAAAGAGGAGGACCCGCCCTATCGCTGCTGTGCCAATCACGAGGCCGCATGTTACATGCTAGTCTGTCCGGTTCCCCGTCAAAGAAAAACCAACGACATTTACTTCACCCACGAATCCTTGTGCAATAATTTTTGCAAGATATTCCTGGCTAAAACACTGCAGCTCATATCCACAACAGCCAACTACTGAGGCCAGTATATCATTATGCCAAGTGCATGGACATTATGAGCGAAAATGGATCGTTTTGTAACTCGACCAAACAACATGAATCTGTCCATCATTTTAATAGTTGAGTTTTGTATGCAAGATAACAGGTATGTTTTTGCATGGCAGTGGCACTAATAGGCCATCACTCATTTTTCGTTTCCACATTTATGTTTAAAATAGAAACGTCACTTTGAATAGCTTGTATGCATGATTATCATGCAATTAATGTTGATATTGTATTGTAAGGTATGTCTCTAAATGGCAGTGGCACGGCCACCCTACTCACTGTACCTTGCACGTTTAAAATAAAAACATGAATATATGAACCTGTGTATTATTTGAATAGCTTAGTATTGAATGCACAATAAAGAGGTATGTTTATACATGGCACTAGGCCCAGTTTAATATAAAACACAACTTTTTACAATATATATAGTAGGAGGTCCCTGCTCCATCTCTATCAGTTTGGGGGTCCTTGTCCTGGAACATGTTGAAGACCCCTGCTCTAATACATTCAGATTCTACCACTTTATTATCCGTTAAGGAAATGTAAGTCTGGTAAATAATGAATTAATGAACAGCACTGAATGTTTCCCATATCTGACTCAGGCTCTTGTTTAAAGGTAAATGTGCACATTCCATATATAGCCTTTTGACATTAATCTTTACATCCCCTGGATTAAAATGGAGAGAATAAAACACATTTCCTTCAGTAACATTACTATGTTGTGGGTGGAACATTACTTGAATTCTACTCTTCCTGTGGTTCAGTGTTGGTCATTATTTAATGTATTTTGACAGTATGTTCTCATCATCACTTTTCAAAAGTATTTCTTTGTCATAACTCGAGATAATCTACAGACCTGGCTGTAAGCAATTTTACGTAGGAATTAGGAGTAAGAGGTAAAATATGTATTGTTGATTTTGGGGTGAGCTGTCCCTTTTAAATAGTTTTGCCTTTGTTGGAAAAATACAGAATGATGTATGCATAATGTTTGTACTTTTCCATGATGCTTGGTAACTGAGAAACAAACTGTCACATTATAGCCGTGATGTTGCAGTCCACAGGATGTCTTTGAAGACGGATAATGTTGAAGTCTGTTTCGAAGGAAGATAAAGGAGGACTGATTCAACCTGGTACCAACTCTCATACTTTGTTATGAAGCTTGTTTATCACTGTGTATAAAAGACAGGGACTCAGAGACAGATCTCTGAGCAGCAACTTGACGCATAACTGTGATACAACTCTGCTCCTTCTTGCAAGAATAAATATTCTGATTATTGATATCACACTTTTTTTGATTATTGATATCACACTTTTTTTTTCAGCCTTTTTTTTCCTTGATAATAAGTTGTAGTGTAAAGTAAATAAAGAAGTCTTACCCAGAAAAGACGAGAAGACAGCCAAAACCTAGCAAAATATGGTTCCTTGTAATGTAGCGCAGCATATCAACTCTGAATAATTTATACAACAATATTGAACAACAGAAAAACAAATTAACAGACTAAACTAAGATCACTGTCCCTATGCTTATTCTTATAGTGTAAAAACAATAAGACGATACATTTGGTATTTATATAACCGGTTACCACAGAGGGGGAGGTTCTACTGAGCATGAAGAAAGATCAACTGTGTGACGACTGCCATGAATGTAAATTCCCTTCCTGTTTTATTTTGTCATTCAATTACCCATGGTTACTCTGTTACTTTACTGCCATTGTTTAGTTTCGAACCTGTTTTGTCCCTCACCTATGTTCCATTTGCTCATCAGAGCTTCCCTGTTTTTAAACAAAAGCTCTTTATCTACCAATTGCCAGATTGTATCAGTCATTTCGTTAGACGAGTTCTCCGTACCATTTTATATCCGTGTGATTCCTGAAACCAGTTGTTCTGCTCGTTGTTCTGCTCCTGTGATAGTTTGTAGTGTTGTTAATATTTTTGACCATTTAATATACGTGTAAATTCCGCTTGATGCCTGTCCTGCTTTGTTTTTTTGTTTTTGAACTGAGCCTCAGTAAAACTTAGATTTTTTGCAACTTCATTCTCTGGTCTGTTCACTGCGCTTGAGTCATACTCTGTTCATCACAAACAGGGTCTTAAAGAGTAACATAACAATGAGTAAGAATGAGTTGTTGTTAATAAAATTAGATTAGACATTATTGCCAGTGCTTTGATAATGAAATGCATACGATCTAACTGAATGTGCAGACAGTTTGAATGTGTATAAATGTGCACTCTGAACACTTTCACCATAAAATAACAGTAACTTATGTTGTGGAAATTTATCATATGGTTCTTTTAGTTATAACTTGTATCGCTTAAACCTGCATATACCACCCTAACCCTCTTCCCACGGAAAGGCTGGGAATCTGGCCTTGGTGGGTGCAGCGGCCAACAACATCTGTGAGGGGGAGGGTGAAGGGAGAGGAGACGAGATAACGCACATACTGTATATACTCTGTTTTGTTTTTTCATTGTTGTTAGACCTCCGAACCATCCGTGGGGAAAGAGCTCTATCCATTCAGCTGAATTATGATTGAAGTGTCTGTTCATCAAATATGTTTTTATATTTTAAGAAGTTTCCATCGCCATTATTTCTCACAGGGAGGTTCAAAATATTTTTTTCCACCACAAATGGCGACGAGGATGGGATCGGACGAGTAATCAGGACTCCGTTAGACGACACAAACGCAAATAATAGTTGATTCCTCCCTGGAGGGTGAGAGGCTGTCCTCAGACGGATGGTTCGAGATTGTTGTACCGATCCTGGAACCGGGAAAAGAATCTCACTCGGTGAGAGATTATTTTGTGATGGAACATACACTTTGATGGGTAAACTTCGGGATCGCACATTTAGAGTGCTGGACATTTAGAGTCCTAGTGTAACTTGAAGTTTTTATAGAGGTTTGGTGTATCCTTTCAAGTTGATTGATTGGACCAGATCGTTCTTAAAATTCTGAGACAGTTAACTAGAGAGAAGTTGGTAAACCGGTATTCTCTCACAGAAAGGGTGGTGGACAGACGTGTCCTGGTGAACTTGTAGTATTTAAAGATGATTTGGTGTATCCTTTCAAGTTGATTGATTGGAGCAGATTGGTTTTGAAGATGCCAGAATCAACAGTAACTAGAGAAGGTGGGTGGTAAAAGTCAGCCGTAATCGACCTGCAGTGTGTTTTATACGACTATGGTGTATAACCGTGCAGTGACAGCCCTGACTGAACTTTGTAAAGAGGCTTTTATGTCATCCGTGAGCCTGAAACACATCACACCTAAGAGAGTTGTGTGACATGGAATACTGCAACATGCTGAACACACTGAGGAGCAGTACAAGAACAGACAACAAGCAAAGACTGACTTTCGTCAGCGCAAACCCGAGGATTCCCAGCTGACAATGGAATCAGGCCATGACAGGCGAGGAGGAAAGGACGGAGACAACAGGGGCAAAAGAGGAAAACAGAGGGGCAGAGACTTTGACACACACACACCAGCTGAAAACTTTGTGTGCCAATCCGGAGATAGGATAAGAGACTGCCACCAATCTCATGGAACAAAGACTGAGGGGAGGAGCAGGCGGCGGGGCGGACCCCAGTGATGGACCATTCGACGCTGTTGAGGTTTAAAACAAAGGATGAGAGGCTGCAGGCCGCAGGTACTTTTATGCTGCGAGCTTCTCACTGCGCACGCGCATCAGAAAAATGAGCTGGATCTGGTTCAAAATTAAAAACAATATTTAATGTACTACACAAAGTTCACTTACAAACTGAATTAACTATCAATAGTAATATTTCATGAAATAGAGGCCCCATCCGCACCACACGACAGACTGGTGTGTCCGCATCACATTCACAGTTTCTTTGTCTCTCCAAAGTCTCTGAAATTTCTCATATTACACATTCCTTAGCCCATCGATCAGCTCAGTGATTGGCTGAACCCTTCGAACTTCAGTCGGACACTTCCTTGACCAATTCATCCCCTTTCTTGAAGGCTGTGCTCAGAAAGTCTTCAGCAACATCCCCCTCTCTCTGACTTTATGGCAGTGTCATAAATTCTCTGGTTTCTCTCACAGTGCACAACAAATTCAGTAACTCTCCCTTTAGTTTAAACCTTCTACAAGTAAACATATTGTAACACATAATATCCATCGCTAGGAGCGCTTTAAAACTTAAATTCCTCACAACGCACACACATTACAACACAGAGGGTGAGTTAACTTTAGATTCTGACTATGACAACCTTGTACATTCAAAACACACATTGGAAACTAGACTAACACCCACATGCCATGTGTATTCGAATGAAAAATTAAGGTTTTAGAAAGTTACCACCGATTATGTTAACTATTAAAGGTAAAAATGTTACATTTTTAGTTGACTCAGGAGCCACGCATTCAGTTTTCCGTACGTCTGCTTTACCTGTCCCTCCCAAAAAGAGTGGAAGGTATTGTGGGACTATTTGCTCAGGAGGCATACCAATTAGTGAGCCACACACAAAGCCCTTGTCCTGTACACTAGATTATATCACAGTTAAACACTAATTTCTGCTGTCTGATTGCTACCCTATAAATTTGTTAGGAAGAGATTTGATGTGTGTATTTGGAATAATGCTCACATCGGGCCCTGATGGCCTGATATTGAGCAAGAAAAAATCATACAAACAAATGAAATATGACCCAACAGAGCTGTTGTACATCTAGGAGTGGTCCTTAGAACCATCTGTAAGCAGTACAAGCAGCACACCTCACTGTTTTGCCTCACAACATTCACCACATGCAGAATGTTACATGCAGGCTAATTCACTACATTGCACAGCACACGTGTCAGAAGGACCAGATGAGGGATTTGGGGGGAAATGGTTTGGGGGGAAATGGTTTGGGGGGGGGAGTGAGATAGAGAAGTTATGTATGATGGACATTTATTGGACAGAAAATACTGCAGCTGCCTCTTTCTCTGTCTCCCACACAATCGGAGTTGTTACAGGGGGTGTGTCCACATGTGTCATTGAAATGAGGCCCTTAAGTTCGCATGGGGCCCAGGAATGGAGAAGAAAGACATGTCTGACTGGCTGGATAGGCAGACTGAACTCACTGACTTCAGTCCCGGGGAGAATCCTGATAAACTGTACAGTATGGAAGGCAATGTATACAAGACAAGATGTACATCATTGCCGGGAGTAAAAGAGTCACTCATCTTATGTTTGATAAGAGCACACACACCATGGTTTCAAATGTTCCATCTGTCGACATGGCTGAGCTGTCCGAGGTGCCCTTCTCTTTATGGTCTGCGCACAAATATGATGTAGGACTGGTGAGGGGTGAGACACCTCTGGTGGTTCACCCACAATTTGATTTCTGTCCATGCATGCATCAATATCCACTCGAATAAGAGGCTATTGATGGTATTACACCGGTTTTTGAGTCTTTATTGAAGGCTGGTGTAATAGTCAAATGTGATGATTCACCGGTGCGCACACCAATTTTTTCGGTAAAGAAAATGCGAGACATGGGGGGAACCGACTGAGTGACGATTTGTTCAAAATTTACAAGCAGTTAATGGGGTTAAAAAGATTTTTTTCCACCACATGGGTCAATTGTTAATAAAATATAGAAAATTTGATTAGACATTGCCAGTGCTTTGATAATGAAATACATACAATCAAACCGAATATGCAGAAAGTTTTAATGTGTATAAATGTGCACTCTAAACTATTTCACCGTAAAATAACTAACTTACTGGTAGCAGTTGTTTTACGGTGAAGCGACCGTAATTTACTTTTACAGTATTTACCTTATACTGGATTACGGTATGTGATAGTAGGATAACTGGGTTTTACGGTGATTTTACGGTATATGCCAGAATGTTATCATTTATTTACAAGGGATAATACAACTCAACACTTTTGCATTTAATTCCCAACAAATAAAAGAATAACAATAGACATTGAATACATAATTGTTGCAGTTTAATACATGTTCTCAAGACAAATAATGAAGGGACATTTGTATTACATCACAAAACTCACAATGTACTGCATGTTCAGAAGAAAACAAATAAAATCATAAAATCTTTAATGACCGGCTTAACTGAACTCATGAGGATAACCTCAGACCAGTAGCGCCAAGATCGAAAAGTGGCCGATGGTACTGTTGTTCAGTGTTAGGTACCTATCCCTGGAGTGGTATGCTGTTGTTCAGTGGTGGGTACCTATCCCTGGAGTGGTATGCTGTTCAGTGGTGGGTACCTATCCCTGGAGTGGTATGCTGTTGTTCAGTGGTGGGTACCTATCCCTGGAGTGGTATGCTGTTGTTCAGTGAAGAATACACATTGGGGCCAGACTTCCTAACCAAATGATGCCTGTGTGCTACTTCAGGCCCCTGCTGTGTGGCCCCTTGATTGACCAAATGCCAACTGTATATCCTTCCTGCAGGTCTGAATGTGTCAGTCAGAAATGCACACATTCAGTGACACACAGGAGCTCTCTCAAGCTGGGCACCGGTTCACTCACTAGCCTGGACCTGTCCCTCCAAGCCTCCTGCACACAAAGAGGATGACCTGCCCCTATCGCTGCTGTGCCAATCACGAGGCCGCATGTTAC